CTTGGCATGCCAACTATACATATAGTTCTCATAACACATGACATGGGCATTATCTTTTACCTCATTACACATTCACATATTCATATCACATATTCAAGTAGTTTACTTTCACGTAGCATTTTTCCATGAAATTCACATTCACGTATCACATAACTTTCCACTTATACTTGTATTTTTTTTTCACATAGCTCATATAACATACATAGCATATCGTGTAACGTTCTCATAGAAACACATAAGTCATATCACTTTCACATATATTTTATCATATATCTTATCTCTTATGATCATATAACCTATTATCACAAATACATGCATTCAAAAGGTTCACATATAAAGATACATTCGACAATTAAACCTATGCATTTACTCATATACTTCTAGCACCATGTTATTACAGGATCATGCTCGAGTACTCTTAAACATCATATCATACTATACTTATATTATTGTACTCATGTCATCTATTATCGGAATTAGACTCATCGCAAGTCTTAATTCCATAAACATCATGTACACTTAATATCATGTACTCACCTGGTCTCACTAGTCAATATCGATCTGTTATCTTTTCCTTGATCGATCTTATTTGCCAAGTTCCGGAACTTGTTTAGGCTCTGAATCTACATAGTAATTCATTGATACTAATCATTATATTAATTAATATATTCTAAACTATCATTTCTTGGCTAAAAGAAGAGACATTTTCATCTTTTAATGAAGGTATGCATCAAACACCACACCCTGCATCGATGCATAAATCTTATTCGATGTTTACATTTAAGGGGGTGCATCGATGCACTGATGGCATTCAATGTTCGTATTTTAGAAGAGTGCATCGATGCACTTCAGGTGCATCGATACACCTTGAACAATTTATGGGATTTACCCTTGATGCATCGGTGCACATGTGCACCGATGCACATAGCCTAGAATTCCAATTTATACCTGAAAATCCACTCTTTTCAGCTTAATTACTTCATATTTCATCCCCTTTCTTATTCTTAACTTACATATACATATTTAAACTCATTTATATTCATTTATCTCGTCTTTAACCTTAATATCCTCTCATCTTCATTAACTTCAAGAATCATACCAGATTTTCAACATGTTTTAAAACTCGTTCTATCACTTCACGTCTCTTAATTTAACCCTTGGCAAGTCAATTTAACTTCCAACTCTAGTTATGAACTCTATTTCAAGATTTCACCCAAGAACCTCAAATCTTTAATCCCTCCTAACTCCATCATACTTTGATTTAAGATAACTTAAGCTTTCCTTAAGCTTAGTTATCATCTAATAATCATAAACCAACTTTTATTTCAACAAATAATCAACTAACCACAAAACTCACCTTTGCTATGGTGACTCACGGTTAAGGAAGAAGAAGAGAACTCTGGAAGTTTATTTTGCTTTCTTTTCTCTTCCACGTGAACTTCCTTATCTAATAAAGGAAAATAAAAATCTTCTATGTCAAATGGCTATTTTACCCTTTACTTCATTCAATAATTACTAAATAACCTTCATCATATTTCCAATAAATCATTGAACTATTCAATTATCCCACTTTAATTACCAATTCCTAAAATTTTACAATTTGGTCACTAACCCGGTATTGATGATGTTACACTGCCACTCCTCCCAATTTCGTTTCCCCAGCTGAATATCCCGACTACTATTCCGTGTCACCAATAGCGACCACATGACAGACCTCAAACAAAAATTCCAACGCATGTGTATGTCCCTCTATAATCTATATAAGATATACACGTACTCACTCATTACATATATATAGTATATACATTTGCAATCTTTTATGCAGTTTATGTTTTCTCTCAACAGGCGACAAATCCATGATAAAAAAAACGTTATATGTATCTGACCGAGGAAATCTTGAAGGAGAATCCAAAGCTTACATGGCTCCTTCTCTAGACGCGCCCCAAGACATAGTGGTTGTGGAGGTGCCTAAGCTGGGGAAAGAAGCGGCCACAAAGGCCATCAAAGAATGGGGTCAGACAGCCCAAATCCAAGATTATCCATCTCGTTTTCTGCATTACTTCTGGTGTGGACATGCCTGGTGCTGATTACCAACTCACTAAGCTGGTCGGACTCAAACCCTCCGTTAAGAGGTATATGATGTATCAGTAAGGTTGTTTTGCTGGTGGGATCGTTCTCCGTCTCGCCAAGGACTTGGCTGAAAACAATAAGGGTGCTCGTGTTCTCGTGGTCTGTTCTGAGATAACGGCTGTCACTTTTCGTGGACCCTCTGATACTCACTTGGATTCCCTTGTGGGCCAAGCATTGTTCGGTGATGGCGCTGCGACTATCATCGTAGGTTCCGACCCTGACACCAAAATCGAACGACCATTGTTCCAGCTTGTATCAGCTGCTCAGACGATCTTGCCGGACTCAGATGGAGCCATCGATGGACACTTGCGTGAGACGGTCTCACTAATTTCCATCTGTTGAAAGATGTATCGGGCTTAATCTCGAAGAACATAGAGAAAAGCTTGGTAGAAGCCTTCTCCCCGATTGGAATTACTAATTGGAACTCAATCTTTTGGATCGCTCACTCCGGTGGACCTGCCATACTCGACCAAGTGGAAGCAAAACTTGGTCTTAAAGAAGAGAAACTGAGGGCGACACGCCAAGTGCTGAGATGAGATGAGAAAGAAATCGGTGGAGGAAGGGAAGGGCAGCACCGGTGAAGGATTGGAATGGGGCGTCCTTTTCGGATTCAGACTAGGTCTCACTGTGGAAACTGTTGTGCTACATAGCGTCCCCACACAGGCAATTGATCACTAACCGATCTCTCGCTCAATTGTTGAATTAAAAAAGTTAATACAAATGAGTAAAAAAACAAGTGAGAGTGATTGTTTGGTGTTGGGGAGAAATCAAAAGATAAAGCAAAGCATGAAAGTTTTGATATGATGTTTAATTTCTAAGGCATATATGTAAGATAAGGATGATGTGAGTATGATCATATAATTACTGCTATTAATAAACCAAGAGGAGGTCCCTGTTCTCTAAAAAAAAATCAATATTTCGTATTTTTTATCTCTCAATGTGACTCTTTAATTCAGAAAATAAATCTAATATGGTCAAATTATTTTTTTAAAGTTCAAGGACTTATTTAATTTTTAAAAAAATAAAATTTATTTTAAATTTAAAATTATTCAAATATTTTAAATATGAAATATAAAAAATGTTACAAATAAAAATTAAATTACTAAAAAATGAATATACATATTTAAAACTAAAAATATTATAAAAACTTAATTTTTTTAATATAGATCGTTATAAAATGATAACTAATAAATTATTAAAAAATTAAAAAATATTTTTAAAAAGATATATTATACATAATATATACATGTAATATATAGACATATCATCAACACTTATACAAAATATTCATACTTGACTAATAAAGACTTACAAAATTTAAATTAGTCAAAACATACAAATTAGTCAAGAATTACATAATATATACTATATTTTCTAATTATATTCTATGCTGAAACTTATTATATAATTATCTTTTAATTAGTCGGGACTTATAAAAAGATAATTTGAGAACATAATAAGTTTTGACTATTTCAAAAATTATAAGTCTTGACTAATTTAAATTTTGCAATTCTCGATTAATCTAATAAAAATACTTTGTATAAGTGTTTATGATATATCTATATATTACATGTATATATTATGTATAATTTATCTTTTTTAAAAATAAATTTTAATTTTTTAATAATTTACAAGTAATTATTTATAACCTATTATATATTCATTTGTTAAAAAATATTTATAATAGTTTTAGTATTTTTAATAAATATTTAATTTTTAATAATTTAATTTTTATTTTTAGTATTTTTATTTAATTATTTGAATAATTTTATATTTATAATTTAAAATATTTTTTATTTTTATAAAAACTAAATAAGCCCTTAAACTTTAAAAAAATCAATTTGTCCCTCAAACAAAACCAAAAAATTAATTTAGCCCATGTGTCATGTCATCTGTGACATCATCAACCATCGTGAACTGTCAATTAGCACCGTGGACTGTCATATCATCACCGTAATGATCAACAACGGAAAATATTTGTTAAAGTGTCACATTGAGTTTATTTTATGAGTTAGAGCCAAGCCACATTGAGAGAAAAATAATACGATGGTCACATTTATTTTTTAAAATTACAGGGACTTATGAGGTGAGAAAGAAGTTGAATTTATTTTTCCAATCGATTTCAAAAAGATTGGAAATTCAAATAATTATTTAATCTTCAAGCAATGAAATTAAAACTATTAAAATATAAATTAATTAAAAATAAAAAAGATTAAAAAAACTAAAAAATATATAATTAAATACATAAAAACTTCTAAATTATAAATATAAAAAATAAAAATTTAATAAGACGAAAATTACTAAAATAATTAAAAATTAAAAAATTATTAAGATATAAAAATATTTTACCAAATCCAAAAGATTAAATAAAATTTAAAAGTATCATAAATTATAAAATTATAAATATAAAAAATTAATTTTTTAGTATTTTCATATGAAAAGTCTTCATTTGTCATCTATTAGTGTAAATCTAATACTACTCAATGAATATATTTTCAATAAAATCAACTATTGATTTGAATTTATTAAGAATAAAATTAACCCTTAAATCTAATTTTTTTTTGAACAAACATATTTCTAGTCGGTTGGTTAATCGACTCATGCTTGTTCTCTATTTTCTTAGGTTATGAATTCTGGCGTATTAGAATCACTCTTTTTCCCTTTCCTCTAAATGAATTAAAATTAGATTTAAAATTTATAAAAAAATAAAATAAAAATTCAAAGACCAAAAGAAACATTCAAAAGTTTAAGACTAATATTTTTTTTAAGGATTAACAATACCATTAGGCTAGAAAGGCAATGAAGTGAAAACAGGTTGAACCACTTAGGCCCAATAAAAATGATTCATTTAATGGAAGCTGCTGTTCCGCAGCCGCAGAAAGAAACAGAGAAGGGGAGAGAAACAAAATGGAAGCAATTGCCGAAAAGAAGGCGGAATTTGAAGAAGGTGAGATAAAATACGTTAGCTATGGAGGGGAGCATCATCTTCCTCTCATCATGAACCTGGTGGATCAAGAACTCAGTGAGCCTTACTCCATCTTCACCTACCGATATTTCGTCTACCTTTGGCCCCAACTCTCCTTCCTCGTAATCTCTTCTTTCCCCCTTCCCTTTTAAAGCTTTTTGCACCATGGGTTTTATAAAAAAAATCCTTTCTTTTTTTTTCACGATTTCAATTTAAAAAAACAGGCTTTTCACAAGGGTAAATGTGTTGGAACCGTGGTGTCCAAGATGGGGGAACATAGAAATACTTTCAGGGGCTACATTGCCATGCTAGTTGTAATCAAGCCCTATCGTGGAAGAGGCATTGGTAAATATGTTTTCGTTCCCGCAAATTTATTGAATGTGTCGGATTCTTTGGCTTTCCTGTTAACTGCTCATGCCTCATTAGCTATGTAATTGCAAAAATTCATGTAGAACTTAGATGCTGAATACCGTTGTTTTTGCTAATGTTGCAGCCACTGAGCTCGTTACCAGGTCCATTAGGATGATGATGGAATCTGGATGTGAAGAGGTACGGTACATTTCATGCTTTGTCCTGGTGATTTCATTTGCAATGATGAATAATGACAGCTCGTTTAACAAATTTCTGCATTTGAAAATGGATTGTACAATTGAAGTATGAATTAAGCCGTAGTCGTTAATCTCATTCTGTTTCGAAACATAAGGTGCAGTGCTGATGTTTGTTTAAACTCTAATTCAGTTAGCAATTTCATATTTCATATAGACTTAAGTGATCACTCTTCATATATGCTGTTGCACATGTATTTGTATACATTGTAGAACTCGTTAATTCTAATTCTGCGGAGATAGCACAACTCGCGAATCAATTAACCTTTTTTGTTTCTGAAGACCAGGGACATTGTCTTTTTTTGTCCCTATTATTTCCAATCTGAACTCTAAATTAATGGTTTTGTTGCTTTTTATGCCTAGTATACGCCGCCGAATTTTATGCTCTTTTACCAGCCTCTTTTTCAAAACTTTGATAGTGTTTGAGATATGATTGCTTTGATTTGTGCCCAGTTGGTGATTTCTTTAGCATTGCTCAACCTAGTAACACCTTTCGGCTATAAGCAATGCATAATGTGTTGATAGAAAAAGGAAGGTAGAAAGGGGTCTAAAAATGATGTTACTGTTAACCATGTGATCTCTGCAAACCGTAAAATACTTCTAAAACATAAGAATTCGCAAAAACACAATGTTCCAGTGTATTTTCTTCACCTTGGTAAGTATATGGTATGCCTAGAATTATATTTTATCTTTGTAAATGTTACTACAAGTTTATAATTCAAGGGAGGTCCGTGGTGACGGATTGACTATCGCTAACATTTATTATGTTATTGAAGGTCACACTGGAAGCGGAAGTGACAAACAAAGGAGCACTGGCACTATATGGGCGCCTCGGGTTCATCAGGGCGAAGCGACTTTTTCATTACTACTTGAACGGCGTTGATGCTTTCCGTTTGAAGCTATTATTTCCTCCTCTTCCTCCTCTTGACCAAGAGCTATATTCTTCACCAGACACTTGAAGAATGTGCATTCTGCAGTGCTGGTATTATACATTGATTCTTCTAATTAAATTTTTTTAGCTTTGTTGGATTTGTTTCCAACCTCTTTCTTAGGGATCTCAAGTTTGGGTTATGAAAGAACTTTGTACATGGTTTTTAACTTTATTTAATATTGAACCAATACAATTGGAAATGTAAGACATTGAACCATTGAGTGATATCTCAGTGATTAAAGACAATGTTGTTCTATCTTGAAAATCTAGGTTCGAACTGTTACGTCTGAAGAGTGTTGTTCTCAATCAAAGTAGAGTTTTTAATCGAATTTCAACTAACCAATCAACCTTAAATAAAATCGATCATCTTATTTGGGCATTAAATTTCAAAATTGTAACTCAATCCATAAGATTATATTCTTGAATCAAGTCTAGGCCGAGGAACAAGGAATAACTTGTTTCACCTTGCACAAAATTCATTTATGACAACCATCTAATTGGCTAAGGGAGTGTAGACACTTAGCGCTTCTTGCTTGCTTTTGCAGCACTGGATTTCGATGGGGTCGCGATTAGGTAAATGAACAAAACCACTATTGAGACCACAGATATTTGATTTCCATACTGAGCCAGCAACCTCTGCAGACAGAAAGGGTTAATCCATGTTAATTCGAAGGTCGAAGGTCTGCAGACATGATAGAAGCAGACCTTGAAGATGATTCATCAAAGGTCCTTTTACTTTTAATTGTTAAACAAGGTGAAATACTTAACGTCTACAAACATATCTAAAAACCAATGATATTCCGAAAAAACGGGATGCATATAAATAATCTATTCCTGAAAGGAATCTGGCCATCTCTGGATGCACGGCAATTCTTATCCATCAAGAGTTTAGAAGCCTGATTATTTAACAAATATAGAAATAGTCATACCTTAGCCTTCAATATTTAGTCACGAGTCACAAAGCACGGTCCACAAAAACAAAAAGAAAGAAGCCTTTAGTAGCATTGGAAAAAGTTAAAGGGTACTGAAAAGCTTTAATACATTGGTTATGGTTATTCTTATTCTAAACAGAACTTACCCACTCAAGCTTCTGCTCAGGAGGTCTTTCAGCAAGGATGTCCAAAGGCAAGATAGATGTTGAATATGCCTCCTAAAAACACACAACAAATTGGAGCACCAAAGCTTGTTTTCCACCTTTTCCCTATTTTTCCTTAAATGTCGACGAAAATAGACTCTGTTATGCTTCTCAAATGTAACACCCTCAGATCGATACGGGTGATCCGATCTGATTCGAGGTGTTATATTAGGGCCATCGGAGCGATCCACAGTAAAAATCCAGGAAAAATTAAATTTTTTGTTAAAACATGTAAAATCATAAAACCATTCATATAATACAACATAAATAAAATCATACAAGTTCCAGACTCAATATAAAAATCAAAAGTGACCTACATGCCCCCTATTTGCACTGGTACCATGCTCTACAAGCCAAGCCGAATGAACTCCTAAACTGATGTTGTTAGTTGCACTGGATCGAATCTTTAAACCTGAAATGATGAGTAAAAGAGTGAGCTTTGGGAAGCTCAGTAATACAGAACTACCAGATGATGTTGAAGGACAAGCAGATAAATGACAAACATAAAAAATTTCTTATTAATTTCGGCATCTACATGTTTTCGAGATGAACTGAGGTTTCACTGATATTTCTTCAGGTAACAGAAAGAAGCTTACAGTTAAGAGTAAACGTTCAGAAGACCATGTTCAGGAGATTAAAACAGACGTCTAGTGTGTTCCCTAAAAACCAGAATAAAATGTAATCATAGCTTAAAAACAATAGTAGTTATTTCAGTAAAAACATGTTTTTAAAATCATTGTAGTACCCTCTAACCGAAATTCCCCATGATATATCCATAAGGACTTACCCTAAACCCCTATGATAGAGGATTCCAATAAGAATGATCAGAACATAAATGATTTATCAGTTAGCTGAACCTCAGAGACTCCAGAATCCTACCCAATCAATACCCCAATAAAACAGTTTCAGATAGAACCAGTAATATCAGAAAACAGAAGTTGGGTTTTTATTTAAAATATAGAGCTTCCCTCCAACCGACACCAAAGGCAATACCCAGAACAAACATCCATAAGGACTTACCCTAGATCCTATAGGATCTAGGAGTCCAGCATGGCAGATCATAATAGAAAGGATTTACTAGCTAGCTGAACTTCAGAGTCTCCAGACACTTATCCAGACAGTACCCTAGTAAAACCTATCAGATAACAGACAATAATATAAGAAATCAGGAGCCAATTGTATCTTGTGTTAGAAATCAGAATTCAGAAAGCGGAGATAAAAAATCCCAGTAATCAAAATCAGATATAAGAAATCGTACTTATATAAATCAGAGAAAATGCTTTTGTCCATAGGGAACACACTAGATGATCCAGATGTTTTCGAAGGCACTTGGAAATTATCAGGAATAAAAATATGAACTTACGTAGAAATTGATCAGATTTCAAGAGCATCATATAATTGTTCATGAACGTTTGTATCATAATAGTTCAAGATTCATATTTACTGAGAGTAGTTCTGTTATTTAGAACCATAGGGGTATTTTAGGCATTATGATTCCTGAAGAATTCTCAATAACTTTATCCAATAATTAGTAAGACAGTGATTTATAGTATCCAATAATTATATTGAATTATTCGAATTTCGAGTCAGATCAGACTAATTAGATCCAACATCGCGATGCTTACTAATAATTCAGACCAAGATCATTCACGAATAACTCTTTTCAATACCGACTACACTAGTTGAATTGATCACATCTAGAATCATCATTGAACATATCTTAGAGAAATAAATTGGTATTTCAGTGGTATTAATTTTATTTTTGAATTGAAATGGTATCAAGAATGGTCAATATGATTGGTTATGGTTCATAACCTTTAAGGACGATACAACATACATGTTCATCGGTGTTTCCAAAATGATATATGTCATCTACTTAATTCTAGCTCAAAAGGGTATTTAGGTCATTTAATACTCGAGGTTACTTTGATCATTTTATAATCAAGGGTATTTTAACTCTTTAAGGGTTCAAGGGTATTTTAGTCATTTGAATACTAGAGGTTATCTTAGTTATTTCGAAGTTCGAGAACATTTCGATAATTCAATTCAATCTAAACATTTCTGGTAATTTGGTTAAGTATGTTCTTTCAGGGTTATTTTTCATTGTCAGGCACAATATTAGTCTTTTTTACTGTGTAAAGGCATTTTCATAATTTTACTCCATAAGGTTATTTTTGTAATTTCTTATCCAAGCATTCCCGACATTTAACCTTTAAAGAATTTAATCAGAATTTTCAATTCTCAATGTTAATTATTTTACTGATGATTCATTGAGCTTGGATTTATTTCTTATCGATCTTTTAATTCCTTATACGAGTCATCCGAGTCATATAGTGATATGCCTTTGCTCTGTATTCAGTTCGAGTCAAACAATAATTAAATACACTTAATTGACCAATCATTTCCCATTCATCCATTTACCATTTATCAATGAGTTCTAAAAAGTATACAAAATGTAATAGAGTATTATCTCGATATTCATGCCACATCGATCAATTTATTAAACTCCATTCGAATGCCTTCACACTTGATTTCATATCCCATAAAATCTTAATCACATGACAAAACAATTTACGTCAGAAACGAAACTTAAACTGAAAAACTATTCAAATCGAAATATAAAACGTTGGAAAAATAGCTTACCGATTTCGAATTTAGTAAAACAGACTTCAGATTCGGATTCAGGACGTATAGAAACATAAGATAGGTCTTTTTTTAAAAAATTAACTTCTTGGTCTAAGTCAACAGCCAACGAGTCAAAGTCAAAGTCAACGATCTAGTCAACGGTCAATCAGAGTTGATTTAGCTGACTCGGCTGACTCAGTCGTGTTGACTCGGTCAACCCAATCTAAGTTGACTCAGTTTCCAGAACACTCGACTGGAACGAAGCTCACGCACACTGGTAGAGCATGGCGGCACGTGCAGTGGATGACAGAGATGAGGATGACTACCGATTACTCCTCGTTCATTCACTCGCCAAAAACAACGAATAACATATTAGATATTAAGGTGAAACAAGCTGAAATGACCAAAAAAGAATCGAAAGCTTACCCTTCTCGGCGGATGACGAAAACGGCGACGAGATGGAACGATACCAGTTGGGTTTTGCTCGAAATAGGACGAGGAGCACAACATCTTAGGCGGTGTGGTCAACCGATGACAGGATTTGCCGAGAAACACCGAAACAGTGTGTGATCTCTTTATTTTATGAGGAGTTTCGAACGTTGATCTACGACGAATAGTAACGCTTTATGAAACAGGGTTAGCTAGGGTTTGATTGCATGTGGGAGGCGCTTTTGAAGGTGGTGGCAGTGACGCACATCGGTGATAGACGAACGAGGACGAAGATGGGTTTCTCACAAATTCTTTCGCCGATTTATGACCGACGATAACCGTTCTGTATACTTTAATCTAATTAGCTAGAGGAGCGTGACGCAATGGTCAAGGTGAGAAAGAAGCTTCTGGAGAATATGGGCTCAAATCTCACCACCACATTTTCTTTTGAACAACGATGGATAAATCTGAGAAAGAGTTCCTAAACTTTTAGGGAAACCCGAAAATTAACCTAAAACTTTGAAAACTCATAAATTGAACCCTAAAATGAATTAAATTAAAATCAAATTAAGATTATTAATGTTAACTAAAATTTTCGGCAGGAACTTGGAAAAGGGGGGAGAAAAGATAATGCCCTGTTTTCATATTACCAAAACATAAATCTCCGAAATTTGCACAAATTTTATTCAAGCAATAATTTGATTCTTTACTGACATCACTCTTTAAATGAATTACAGTAAGCAATTCAAATTCATGAAATAGGCAAAATTTAGAAGTGAAAACTTATAAGAAAGCATAAACAATCTAAGCATTCCACAGTAAGAGCAGCAAATTCCCTACTTATGAAGCTTGCTTGCACGTGTAATAGGATTTACTTACACGTGCAAACAAGTTGCTTATCACATAATTCCTAAAACGACATGGTAAGCTACATAAAAGAAAAGAAAAACATAGCTCGAAATTGTAATGGAAATTGAAGATCGGTTCTAAATCGAGAACTTTCACATTGATGGAGAAACAGAGCTAGATCTGCATTAAAGAGTAAAACTGAAGAAAAACGAAGAGAGAAACGCACGAGAAGCCTTGGTTGAAGATATCGATAGAGACGGAGACACGTTCGGCGCCGGATTTGAGTCTGGTGAGCGATGCCTTCTTGTGGGCAATCATGAAGGGGGTGCTTGCCGATGCCAAGAAAAGAATAATCAACACCTTTTTGTGTTAGCACAAGAGATGGCCATGCACGCCATTATCCACTAGTCATCGTCCCAATGTCATCATAAAAGAGCTGAGAGATCTCCATTGGCAAAGAGCAGTATATTGTGAACTCCTCGACCCTCGTCCAAGCTAGCCTGGTTATTCCGTCTGCCACTTTGTAACATTCCCGTGGAACAAATCTAAAACACAGCTGCCAATCGCGGTTTAAAAGACGTTGAATACGCGGCACCAAGGTGAAGACAGTCTCAAAATCCTTCTTGCCCTGTAGAATGCTTACCACATCCATGCTATCCGTTTCGATAATTAACCGTCGATACTGCCTTTCCCGTGCAAGTCCCAAACCTGTGTAAACTCCCCATAATTCCGCATCTAGAACCGAGCATGCACCAATGCATTTAGAAAAACCCAACACCCACTTACCGTCATGATTACGCAGAACGCCTCCGCATGCTGCTTGCCCCGTGTCTAATTACCGCGACTTCACCCAGCCAGTCGGAGGTGTCTTCCATTTGCCATATCGACATACCTTCTGCTGCTGGACAATCTGCAAATCACTCCTGTTTGACAAGGCCAATAATCAACACCTTGATCAACGGATTTGCGGTAAGCGTCTCCATGGGTCCGCCTGAAATGAAGATCAATTATTTTTTTAATATTTTGAATTCTGACTTAAATGGTAGAATATCTGAACAAATGGACTAGAGTAGATATCGAGCTGACCAGAGGGCATTCAATGCAAATCTACTAACCGTAGTTTATGCAACGATGTCGTATTTCATTTAAACGAAACGAAAAAAAACTTTAAATTATTAGTAGTATTTATTGAAAAAATCTTTAAATTATTATGTACAATAGTATTTCTCTTAAAAAAAAAGAATGACATACATTTTGACCGATGTATTATGAATTATTCGAGTTTTGAAAATTTGATAAACATTTTAGCAAACGTTTGAATTATGAACCGGACAATGTATTATGAACTATTCGATGTTAACGGCTATTAACAGACGTGATGGAATGCACAACTGGACTTTTAACTAACTACTTGGCTTGGTTTGTTGACCGTTTACATGGCACGTGGACCAATCATCTCTTCGATTTTAAATAAAAACCCATTTTTGTGACGACCACAACCTCCCCAGTCCACGGTCCCTCCAACTCCTTGATCATTAATACCATGAACACATAACCACGATGCAAAATTATACTTATACATGTCATGTAGCATATTTTTCATATATTTATAATCAAATATATCATTTTTCATATATTCATGTCGAAATTCGGATGATAATAACGTTAAATCTGAGCAAATTCAGCCAATTTCATGTTGGTACAATTGTCATGTTTTGCCAAGTTGGATTTCTCATGTAAGGACCAGCCTGTATCCTGTCCGGGGTAACATGGTGGTGCTAATTTTCATATTTTCTGCCAAATGATGAATAATGCTGGAGTTGACACCTGATCTATAGACAACTACTGACCTTCCATTTTCTTTTTCTGTATATTCATCACTTCAAATATGCTGATGGGAACAAATTTTACCACATCGTTGATGATTTAGCTTTTCTAATTTGATTTATATAGAAGATTATAGTCGGTAAGATAGTACCTATTGATCGGTGTGTCTCTATGAAAGAAATGAAGACATAAAGGGGAATATAAGAGCGAATGAGAAAGAAGTGGAGATGATCTCTTCTCAGTCATGATTGAGAGATATTATAGCGATTCCTATCAGACATAAGGTGATTATAGCTACTTGTAAGTCAGTAGACAAAATAGATTTGATCGTCAAATCTTAGATTTTGCTCTCGTAGATTACGCTGACCTATCATATGTCTTGTCAATGCAATGTAGCTAGCTCGATATGATTTTTTAGAGGCATTGGTAAGCGACGGGATCTTTCAAGAGATCTGACCAATGGGGTGCTAGCAATTTCCAAAAATCATCTCCGAATATATAGCATAATGATATATCAATTTCTATTGGTTCCGGAAGTAAACGCAAATCATACAAAAGAAGCCCTAGATTAGAGGTTCATTAATCTTAACTAATTCTTAGTTACTTTCACTCATATCCAAGTTATTTTTCTGATTTAATTGCTTGAAGCTCACATCCCTATGTCATATATGGGCGAGTGGTTTGAATTTAATCCTATATTAAGGACTGCTTGGATTATTATATGTATCAGTGTGGAGAGTAGATTTCAAGGATTAAATCTAAAAAAGTGATTTTGGAAATCCAATAAAAAAAATATGGTAAACCAAACATGTAACACCAGTTGTCATTAGGTCCATACATGAAGGTTAGTCCCCACGTGCACACTTCCAAAAACCCATAATTAAAACATAACTACCAAACTGCTTGCAGATAAGTCCAGGCTTCAGCTTTAATGAACACCAGCTCAAAATCTAGATAGAAAGCTACTGGTAAATACATAAAAAGTGAAGGATATTACAGATGTATGATGGACATTGGGGTATTGGATATGTGTTTCTTGGAGTTTTTCTGTATGGAATAACCAGTTTCTGCATGATAGAAATGAATAAATAATAGTATTTGTATTTGTGTTACGGGAAGTTTCAATTTGCATGTCAATGAAGACTTCCATGTGTCAGCCATGTGAGATATACCTCGGCTCCTGAGCTTCCTATTCCCAGATTCTCTCTCTCTCTCTCTCTCTCGATATTTAAGATATCATCAGCATTCCATTGCGTATTGGGTCTTGGGTCTTTCTCTCTCTCTCTTTGTATACAGTGAGTTACTTTGGGATCTATGCAATACTTGATAATATATGATCAGTATTCTTTTTCTATTGCTTTGATTCATTTATCTTCCATTTATTGAGTAGCTCTGGATGCTGTTGTTGTAAGTTTAATTTTGTTTCTTGAACTTGAATCTTATCTTCCATTTATAAGCTTGAACTATATCAGAACTATATCAATTATGTGTGCTCCAGCTTTATCTCTTTTCTTTTGTTACTCAGGTCTGTATGTTCCTGAATTGCCAGAGGGTACACTTTATGAAACTGAATTATCGGTGATTTGAATGATTTTGTAGGATGTTAATTAGTGAAAAGAATCCCCAGGTGAAAAGATGGGGTGCACTTATTCTGTGTACGGATTTGAGAAGAAGAAGAAGCTGAGTATCCCTGAAGTTGTTGTATTTGCTCCTTGCATGAGAACTCCAGAACATTGTGATCTTCAACAAGCGCTCAAGGGCCTAATACCTCGTGATATTATCGACAGATTGTTTTGTCTAAGGAACCGATTGCGTTGATTGCAGAGGACACCGGTCTCTCTCACCTTATGACACTGTTGTTTTTCATATAGTATGGATGTGATCTTCAAATCTGAAGTGGAACTGTGGATGTTGCAGGTGGATTGGCAATTACAGAACTGCGGCAGGCCCTGGAGGAGTACTTGTCAATTCTAGTCGGACTTACTAAGAAAGGTTTTATAATCTGCTGATCCCAGTCTCTCAGTGTCACATGTTTTTCCAAGTTCCTATGATGAATAACTGTGCACATTGCAGAACATGGTCTTGAGGACTTGGTGGAATTCAAGTGGAAAATTTTACAAGATGGAAGACAAGTACGTTTTTTAGGAATCGATGCAGGGTTTCTTCTATAATTGTAAACAATTATGATCTAATCCAAAACGTGCAGGAGACTATTTTAACAAACGTCTGGTTCGAATTGTTATCGGTCGTTCATATGATGGCTATGCTCACATTATCTGAGGCTGACACACTTATGATCCCCAAGGATTATTCTGGTTCTGGCTTACGGATCGTTTCTACAGGTTTATGCCTTAATTTTCAATTATGATTTACTTTGACTCTTAATTTTCAATTATGATTTACTTTAACTCTTAGTCTAATCAGTGAAAATCATATGCATTAATCACCACCAGATTGTAAGAGAGATGCAGTTGATTTATTGCTCAAGGCTGCAGGGTACCTGGAATTTTGTGTCCGGAACGTACTGTGTCGTATACCACCAGAAATCAAGTATGTACATATTTGCAGTTCTTGATAACATTCTTTCACATGCAAGCATAAATTTTCATTTGAAATCTTATAAACATCTCATAAATATTCCCAGGCAAAGTATGTCAAAAGATTTGCAGGATGGTGACTGGAAGCTACTTCCATCCAAGCATTAGGTCAGGTATTCATTACTTATGTCACCGAATAAATTCAATTGAAAAATGAAATTGGATCTTCGATTTCTTGGTATCATTCAGTGGAAATGGATCTTCGATTCAGGGAACCGAAATACAGCTCGGTTTAGCTATCGAAAGTCAAAAAGCTACTTTATCAGTGAAGAGGAGGCTGGCCTGTGAACTGCTGATCTATTACAGTCAGGTTTACTTCTAACTTTCCGTTTGAGAAATCTATGTCATCACTCGAATGCTTGTATGAATTCGGGTTTCAGCAGTGGATATGACTTATCGGTTACAGTCGGCTTTCTTTCCTATTGTATAACCAGGCTTATCAATGCTTGGCTGGATGTGACTTAAGCAATGGGTATGGGAAGAAACATATGTGGTTCATCAAATGGAAATTGTTGAAGCAAAGGTTTCAACCACAATCTCTAATAGCAAAACATTATCATCCCAATTTCATATAGGAATCTAACTTCTATTTAATTGTATCTTCAGGCTGTTGCTTATTACTACCACGGTCTGGTTCTCGACAAGGGTAGTGAACCGACCTGTCATATTAGTGCCGTATGCTGTTTCCTAGCTGCACAAGAGCTACTGGTGGAGAGCAAGAAAGCTTGCATAAGCTTTTGCCTTGCAGCTCCCGTAACCAGGTTGGTTCTCAATCTCATGCAGTTTCCGGATGCTGTTTCCGGTCTGCTTATCGTTCCATGTTGCTCAGTCTCGGGACTAAGATCGTGGATACAAGTATGCATCTGATATGAATATGCTGTCTTTTATTTTTATTTTTATTTGTGGAAAAGGGCACCTCCTCTTTGGGGAGCTATGAAGCATTTACATCAGAAAATACCAGAGGTTACATCAAGGAAATCACAGATGTATGGCTGCCTCTTAGAACAAGAGAAGTAAGCTGTTTCGACTGCGGCTCGGAGTTTTAATTTACTTTGCTCAATAAATGGTTATGGATTAACTTCGAATGTTGGTGGTGCATCAGGGCTCTCCAAACATTACCTGAACTACCAGATTTCCAACTATCACTGAGACCTGATGACTATGAATTACCTGCAATGGATCCTGTATGGAATTCCGAAAACTTGGAAAAACAGGGCCAGCCCCTAAAAGAACATCTCAAAGACTGTGAAGATGAGATTGAAACAGAATGAAACCATTTTTTACAGTCTTTTTTCCCTCATTGTATCTTTATTCTTATACAAGCTTACCTTGTACAGAAAGACAGACAGACACAAGCAATGAATGATTGTTAAGAGCTAGTATTTGATGGTGAACCTTATAACCCAGTTGTTTAAGATCAATGGAATCAGCTTGCTTTTGTTCCAAGCAAACAATCCATGCAGTTACCTTTAAGACGTGATGACTAAGGTTCTGGCGACACGCAGTCCAACGTGGGGCTTTTTACAGCAATCTCAGAAGATCTTGCTGCATACTACCATTGCTAAAGTTGTCCTAAGGACATTTTACAAGCTCTAATCAGAGTATAACAATAAGACAAAGTATTTAGTTTGAACAACAAAAAATGTTTTACCTCCTACTAGCAATGTAATTTTCTAAAGAAACAACATCTAACCCTCTTAAAACAGATGATTTGTCTTCAAGGACAGGCTTGCCTTTCATTGCTTCCGTACTCATCATTGTCTCGATACATGACTTTGCAGCTGGACATAACAGCAAGAGCAAAATAGGAAAAGAAAGCCAAGTAAGATAACACTATGGCTATCGTCATATGGTTGCAAAATTTGTTCACACGGTTGCAAATAGCCATCCAACCCATTTTTTGTTCTCCATATCGGCTGATATAGCCGACCGCCGTCGAAGCCGCGCATCCGGATATCGCCAACACCATAATCACCTGCGAAAACAATGCAGGAAACTTTAACTTTGATTGTTTCAAATTTCAACAACAAGTGCTCACCATGTCATGCAAAAACAGATAGAAGAAGCTCTTGGGACTCGATCCCGAACGTCTCAAATGGTAAACAAAGATCGGTGAAAGCACAGAAGATGCACTTAATACTATAGCATCTGTCACAAATAAGAACCTGCAACAAAGCCACTACAAAATGTTAAGCCATTTAACCTAACATGTATGAAACTGTCAAAACCAGTGATTACCTCATAGCAGATGAGTAGCTATAGTGAGCTTTAATGGTGAAGCCGAATAGAACAACTGTCTGGGAGCTTGTTGCCATGAGGCAGATAGCAGTCAATGCGGAAACAGCAGCAAAAACCCTGACCGTGGTTTGAACCTTAAAGAAGCTTCCTTTTGAGGTGTTGGACACTGCAAAGCCTTTGGCTTGAACCATATCCGAAGCTTTTTCTCTGGCAAACTCAGGTGCCATTTACAGACTCTTTCCAAGAATGAAGGAAAGCTACAACTAAATGACTGAGAAGAAGAAGAAGATGGTATTTATCCAAATGCAAGCCAATCAAATAAATACCTTGAACAAAATATTTTCTTGTAGTTTGAACAACGTTGGATTCGAAGGTGATAAAAAGAGCAAGAAGGGGTGGGTGGGGTGGAGTAAATAAAGTTTGTGCTGTTCCAATGGTAGAAATTTGCTTGAGGGTTATTATTTCTTGAGACCAAAGTTAATACTGAAAAGGACTTGGACCAACAACCTGCAGAGATGTAATAAAAACGGGGGGGGATGTTGCAGTGGAAACAAATTAATTAGGCTCCGACGATCAGGCATTTGAGTTGCCTTGATTTGAAAAATCCTCTAAGAACTGTACCACCTTGTTTACTTGTGGAAAGTAGACGACAACCTTAATTGCTGGTTTTTGCAAGAAAAATCTAGATTTAATACGATTATGTCTTGATTTTCTTCTGTTTTTATTTTATTTTATTGAAAGCAGATGACATGTCTCATTCTTGTGATTATAGAGGTTACCTAATGGCTAATATATTGTGTTTAATGTGGATTTTTTTTCTATCATTTTAAATGAAATTATCCTTGAAATAATGAGTTTTTCATTATTAATTTATTTATTACATATTTTATCAAGCTAATTATTTTGGATGCAAATTTATTAAATATTTTATTTCGTATTAGTTTAATATTTAAATAATTCCTTAATATTTTGCGAGTTCTAATTAATATTATATTTATGATGTAAATATTATCTTTTAAAACATATTATCTAAATATCTAACTCATAACTTAAATTTAGTTGAAAATATTTAATTGAGATAATGTAAACTTATTCGAGTTTGAGTTTTATTTATTTTTTTATTAAAGTTTGACTTGCAAGTCTCTTTCAATAAAATTGATATAAATTACTCAAATTCTATCCCCAAAAAATTTTTTTGAAGTGGATTTAAATTGCGGTTGTGCTCATGTTTTCGGTCGCTTCGTGTTTGGCGCGATTGCGAATATAACAGGGTATCGCGGTCATACAATATCAATCGCAGACAATATTGTTACCGTTGTATGGAGGACGCTATTACAACAGCGGATCGCTATTTAAATCCTTGCATTGAGGTATACAGGAGAACATTAAGAGAGACGATCAAATATAGACATGCAAAGGGTTTAAAAACGTTGAAATTTCAGTATCCATTTACAAAATATTACCAGATCTCAGACAAAATATGTAAGATGAAACTTTTAAAACCCTCAAACAACTTGTAAGCACACTTTGAAGTTTCACAAGAGACCTAAACGTAGCCATTTAAAAAAAAAAAAAAAGCAATAAAGGGAGGTTTTATAAACGGAGAGTGAGATCAACATTTGCAGATTCATCCACATCAGTGCTCGGAGATGAGGTCTCTGGGGAGGAAACACTTATGAATCCCTGAGGAATTACAAAGCCGGCAGACGGACGGTATTGGTGTTGGACGTGGAAGGGGTCGAGATACGATGCACCACCACGCTAGTCCATAGGTTCCTCGGTTCAAAGGCAAAAGGGCTAACCTGTTGCTGAAATTTGTATAGTTGGGGGAGCAGACACTGATCATTCCTTCGAGACGCGGCTCGTTCTCGCCGGTGGGCATTTTGGTGTCCACCCAGAGCTTGAGAAGTTAAGAACTTCCTTGGACAGAACTGACAATGGCAAAGCCTAAATGGTGAAGCTCTTTGGGTGTTTCTTGATGGGGTTTGAAGCTGAAGACGAGTCGAGATGGTTGAACAAGTTGTACATTGAAGGGTCCGCCATTAGGATTACAGCAAACTAGGCTAGAAGAGAGTAAAAACAGAAACAAGGGATCACCCAAAGATAAAACAAAAGGTGATGGGAAGAGAAAGGGAACGGTTCAGGGTTTTTATGGGGTTTAAGGTTTTTGTTGGTATTCATATCCGCACAAGGCTGACAGGACATGCTACGACCGGCTGTTAGGTGCTGGACGGATTTACCCCCACACTGTGTTTTCAACCCTATATTGATCCCCTCAATCTAATTTTGTAAAATAATATCTGATTAAAATATTTTTTAAAATTACACTATAGTATCAATTTTTAGATTTAAGAATAACATGATTGGGAAAATTCCCTCGTTCTCGTAAGAAAACCTTATCGAAAAACAAAGTCTATACGGGACTTTTGGGGGAAGACCGCCGGAGGAGAAGACAGAGATCAATTTACAACCAGCTTTAGAAAGAACCGGATATCAGGCGAATCTGGAAGAACAAGGAAATCCAAAAAAAATCAAGAACACAAAGGATGGAAATATCAACGATAGTGCTACAGAAACAGAAGAGATGGATGCCGATAATCTATCAGGGAGAGACATGGCCGAAGCATCCGGCATGAATGAAGTAGAAGAAATTGAAAGCGCAAAACAAAAAGAAACAGGAGATAAACCAGAAACAGAGATAAGAGGGAAGGCAACATACGCAAGCATGATAGTCAACACATTTAGGGCAAGGAAAATGCTAAATACAGGTTGTGGTATTAATGATGATGAAATTGTGGTATTTGAGGAGGACTACGTTATCGACAAATTGTGTGTTTTCCCAACAATCAGATTCTCGGAAAAAGTTCATGATCAAATTGATAAAAACATGAGGAATGTCATCATCGTTCGGCTGTTAGGACGGATGATAGGATACAAAGCCCTGCTAAATCGGATCAAAGCACTATGGAAACCAATTGGAGAAATACAACTCATCGACCTAGAAAACAACTATTTCTTAGTCAAATTTGCAGATGAAGATGACTATACAAAGGTAACAGAAGGGTCATGGACAATATATGGAAGTTATTTGACAGTCCAACCGTGGAGTTGATCATTCTCAACATCTGAAAAATATCCATCACAAGTGATAGTATGGATCAGGTCACCAGGACTACCTTATAGATACTACACAAAAGCACTTTTTCGACTAATTGCTTCAGTAGTCGGACGAGTAATTAAAGTAGATTATAACACTCAGGCGGGGGAAAGAGGTAAGTTTGCAAGAATTGCGGTTTTAGTAGATCTAAACCAACCACTAATTCCTTGTATTAGAATATATAGATTCACACAAAAACTAGAATACGAGGGATTATAATAGATTTGCTTCCATTATGGGGTTTATGGGCATACAAGAGAGCAATGTGCAGCATATCAAGTACATATAGAATCTAAACGTGAGGAAGAGCTTAACGAAAGGAATAAAAACAACCATAACCTTGCAACAACATAAGAAGAAACACTATTTGGACCATGGATGGTGGTGGAAAATCGTCGAAGAAAAACATTGACAACACAAAAGACTGAGAAAGACAATGCGAAACAAAAGGCCGGTATAGGGGGCTCTCGTTTCACTATATTGAGCGAAGATGAGAATGGTCACATGGCTGAAATAGAAACAAGGACAGAGGATAAAGAAGATAATGCGAACAGAACCGGACTAGTAAATAGAGAAACAACAAAAAGGAACTCACCAGATCATCAAACAAGGGGAACAAATCGCAACATGAACATCATGGTACCAAAACCAGCAAAGAAAATGCACGAATCGGACAATATAAAAAACAAAATAGAAGTAATCCCAATGATAGAAGGACAGAACATGGAAGCAGTGGAACATATAACCACAACAGGGAACGCAAACCACACAGCCATAACCATAAAAGAACCAAGTATGGGGAAAAAATGCACGGGACTAAATTCCCAAAAGGGGGAGAAGAAGCTGGAAGGATGAGAAAAGAAAACAGTGTGAAATGATTGAAAGTAAAAAAACAAACAACTTTTCGCCCTGCAAATCATAACCTGATCAAAGAGTGGGTACATACAGTATCTAATAAGCTGTTCATAACCTCGAATGATGAACATGTCAATTTTGAACCACAAGCACTAGTTAATATGCCAATACACAATAACATGGTGATAAAGGATCAACAGATAAAGAACAATGAAGTGAAGAGACACAGAGAAGTCTCGGTTAATTGCCGAACAACAAGGTTCTGAAACCTCACAAATTCAAATAAATGACTAGTTTCATGTTTTGGAACTGCCAAGGAGCTGCAAGCCCAACCTTTAGAAGAATCTTTAATCTATTTGTTAAAGAACACAGACCAAATATGGTTGCATTATTCGAAACAAGAACGAGTGGAACAAAAGCAGACAGAATAATCAATAAACTAGGATTCACAGTCACTTTGAGTAGAAGCACATGGATTTAGAGGTGGAATTTGGCTACTATAGGAAGAAACAATGGAAATTGAGGTTACCCACATATCAAATCAATTCATTAATGGTAGATTTCAGCCTAAGGAAATTAATACATGGGCACAATTCATAGTAGTTTATGCAAACCCAAACGGGTCTAAAAGAAAACATCTATGGAGCCAACTTGAGGCACTAGCACCAAACGATAATACACCTTGGATCCTGGGGGGAGATCTCAACGTGATATTATGCATACATGAAAGAAGAGGAGGCGCAACGGCACACACAAATGGAAGCCGATTATTCGCCAATTTCATGCATTCTACTGGATTATTAGATTTAGGATTCCATGGTCCACCATTTACATGGAATCGTGGGAACCTACAACAAAGACTAGATCGTTGCCTCGGAAACACAAAGTGGATTTCAACATTCCCAAACTCACAGGTACTGCATATAGATCGAATTGGATCAGATCATCGACCCTCATCCTAAGGCTGACAACGGACAAACAATATCATAAAAATCGACCCTTCCGCTTCATAGCATCATGGCAGGAACACCCTGAGTTTAAAGACTATTAATTCCATATGGAAAGAAAACGGGGAACTAAACGAAAATATTAGCACATTCAAAACTGAAATGGAAAAATATAACTCAGACGTCTTTGGACACATAGGAAAAAGGAAAAAATCTTATTGGTATGACTGAGAGGAATAGACAAAGCCCTACAACAAACACACTCAGAATTTCTGGTAGAGTTGGATAAACAATTGCGGACAGAACTCGACATTGTACTAGACCAGGAGGAGAGTCTGTGGAGAAAAAAACACGTACAAAATGGATACTGGA